CACAAGAGAGATTTGGGAGTCCGTGTGAATGGGTGTTACCGTAATCCTGGTTATGATTAGAGCGCGTTAATGAATTGGGGCATGATTCGAGGGGACCTCCAAGCCAATAGACTTCCAGTAGTCAAAAGAGAATGAATTAATTGCTTTATGGTATTACGTTTATATAGATTTATAGTAAACTTCAGCAAATAGACTATCCTGTAAGTGGTTTTTATGCAGCTGGTAGGTAGATTTTATGAACCAGGTATTCTAGAAGATTGATCTACATCAAAGATGATTGGAAACCTGTGGAACTTTGAATGGGGACAATTCAGGTGTCCCAGAAGTGTTGATTCAAATTCTCCGTTGTTTTTTTTGTCATGAGGGACTTCTCAAAAGCGGTTCAGCAGACGTTACTTACACCTCCGATACTCTCTGGTGTGAATGACACTGGCTTGGCCCATAAGTAATGACGCTTTTTCTAACTCAGAACCTCGCGTAAAAGATGAAACATTTTGCTACTGAGTTCTTGGGCATTTACCAGAGATGCTTGGAGCACTACTTAATGGAGAGGTTTTCGCACTGCAAGAAGGTGACTCAGTTTCCTCAGAGATTTATACTCTATTGATTTTCGAACAATTAAAAAGGAGTTTCAAGTTGACAAAAACGAGAATTTTTAACAGCGTTTCCTTTTGCCGTTTAATCAAGCACCTGAAGCGGCGCAAATTCTTTTTTGAAGGGAATGGTCGAGTCGCGAAACTATAGGCTCAGAACTGGTTCAAGTGATCCTAATTTCAATTTTGGCCTCACTTACAAGAATTCACGCCCTCCATATGGAAAGATAGCTCTATATGATGGCAAGTCTGCGAGTAGCAGCACCTCTCCAGAATACCAGCATCTTTGGAGAGTAAACCACTGGTAATAATATGGAAACATGCTGCTATTTCTACACAGCCCTCTTTATTCGCCTACGATTTCGTTTCCCTTTCCACTTCTGGAATCATGTAACAGCTTCACCAAGGCATCATTTACATCCAAGCAACAAGTTATCCTTCATTCTGTGCTATTTCTAAGGCATCTTTTCTCAGTACATTGCATAGTACGCGTCTATACACTTTGGAAAAAAGCTTCTACGACAACGTTGAACTCAGTACATAAAACTATTCTAGTCTAAGAATTTTAGTACTTCTACTATCCTAGAAGTGACTTCAAATAAGAGGTTTAGGGAGTTTATAGGGAGTTTTTGTACGTTGCTATTATAATATGAGCAGTGCAAGTCAGCGTCACTTCTGAGACGCTTGAAGTGTCAACATTCTACTTCACGGTTTCGAATTATCTTGGATGAAAATTACTTCTAGGATACTTGCACTGCTCATATTCTAAGGTACAAAAACTCACCATCATCTAATTTATATTCTTCTTATTCGCTGAAGTTTACTATCGTTCTAGATTAAAACCAATTTAGCAATACCAAATGCAATTAATTCATCTTCTTTCGACTACTGGAAGTCTACTACCTTCGAGGCTCCTGCGAATCATGCTCCAATCCATCAGTGCGCTCCAACCACAACCAAGTTTGCGGTAACACCCATTCACACTCTTCCCAAATCTCTCTTGTCGCCATCATCTCTTGTGAGCAGGGCACATCGTTGGTTGGGGAATCCCCAACAGGGGGGTCGTATTTGGCCGCCAGGAGAGGGGGGGGGGTCGTAATGAGTGCGGTAGCCAGTAACGAGCAGCGCAAAGGTGTCAGTGTGCTGAGTCCTGTACAGCGAAACTTGCTTTGTAGAGAACTCGGATATGTAAAAAAATAGTACAAAACTTTCATTCATCAAACTAATCCGAAATAACTGGAAATATTAATAAGTCGACATCATCTCGTAAGTGACTAAACAGTACAACTCATACTCTGGTTCGCTGCGGATGATGGGGCGTGTCCGCGATCTTGGCGCTGAGCCAACCTGTTTTTTTTTTCGACAAACGACAGGACTACCATA